GTTCGAATCCAGCCTGGGCTGCCAAACAACAATGATGGCTGCAACCAAAAAATAGCCAGGCATTGTGGTGGGCGCCTGTGGTCCCAGCTACTTGGGAGGCCGAGGCAGGAGATTCGCTTGAGCCCAGGAGTTGGAGATTGCTGTGAGTGATAACACAGCACTCTACCCAGGGCGACAGCTTGAGGCTCCGTCTCGAAAAAAACTCAAGGTCTCCAACAGAATGAATTTGGTTATATCAGAACTGAGGGGTTCTCTTTTGAAAAATATTTTAAAATTGACATAGAGTAGTTGTGTATGTTTGTGGGGTACAGTTTGATGTTTCCATACATACATGTATGTTGTATAACGGCCAAATCAGGGTACTTCGTGCGCCCATCACCTCATGCATTTATCTGAGGCTTTCTCTCACACAGTGATCATTATTGTTTATCAGTTCATCAGATAGATGATAAGTTCAAAGGAAACATTTAACAGGGAGAGGGAGAACTTGTGGTTTACAATGGTGGAGTTGGTTGCCACTAATCTTTCAGAATCCCCTCAAATCCACAAAGTCCAGGACAAACCAAAACTCACCCTTAATTTTTTACAAAAGTAGGAGATATCTCAAGTGATTACAGTTATGAGCTTCTGTACACCAAATTATATACCTGAACATTCATAAAGCAAAAACCTAACAGGTAGATGAGGACTTTGTCAGCTCTAAACAACAGATTTCCAACTCTGCAATAGGAAGCGGGGAAGGCACCGTCCTTCCAATTGCTCTCAGAACATTTGCTATAATAACCATGTCATCGCTCAGAGAAAGTTTATGGACATTCCAGAGGAGAGAGAGAAATAGTACAGACAACATTCTCTCATTATGAGGCAATAAAACTAAGAATAAAAGAAACAGGAAATAAAAACATCCTAACACCTGCACATTATAAATCTCTCTTAAAATGACTCTCATCAAAGAAGAAATCAAAACCAACACTGCAGAACAACTAGCAAATTATGATGGAGATGCCCCATATATCAGAACCATTGGCCTTCTTTTGTCTGGATGACTACAGCTTTATAATTAGGCTTTCGAACCGGCAGGGCAGGTCCCCCACCCACCCTACCTTATTCTTCCAAATGGCTTGGCCCTTTGTTGTTCTATATACATTTTAGTATCAGCTTTCCCAGTTCCATGAAAAGCACTGATGGGATTTTGATCAGAATTTGCAGTGAATTTATAGATTGACTTGGAGCGATGTGACATCTTTATATTATCAAGTCACCCCACCTGGTGAGGCCCTCCATGGGTGCCCGATGGAGGAAGGAAGCCATAAATACTGGCCACGGCCTCCTGACCTGCTGCAGCAACAGTCTCCTTCCAATGTCCTCTGTAGCTCTGAGTTTTGCATAAGGGGAGGCAACTGTCTTTGCAAGGAGCAAAGCGGTCACAGGAGGAAGACAATGTAACAGAAGACAAACAGCTCACCTTGCCTTTAAGAATAAAATCTCAACAGGGGTTTTTCTTTTTCATTGTGTTAATCAATAAGATGGGCCTGGCATTCTAAAAACTGAACATTTGAGGAATGGGGAAGTTGAGTTTCCCATTTCTAACAGCTCAGGAGCGGCATTGAAGAAAGGTGTGATCCCTCATAGCCATCAAGGGCTATGTTGGGTGAAAAAGAAGAGATTAGGACTTTTGTGTTAGGAGACAAAAGGGA